GTCGTGGGGGGCAGGACGTGGGGCGATGCGGGGAGCACCCGCAGCAGCATGAGCGGCGCTGCCCCAGCTACCCTGCGCCCGCTGCGGGGAGCGGCTTCATGCAGAGCCGCCCGTGTGCTTGGCACGTACCTGCACTTTGGTTCCCACGTTGAGTTTTGCTTGTTGCCCCCCGGCAAGGAAGGAAACGGTGATCTTGTCCTGGCCCAGGATCCTCACCCCCACGTGCTGGTTCAGGGCGATGAAGACGGGGCGCAGCGGGACGGGGGGTCCCGACACCACAACGCGGTTTGGCCACGTCCAACGTCTCACCCTGCTGCCTGCTCGGTCCAGATACTGCCCCCCCTCGACGTTCAGGTTTATCCTAAAAGAGGAAAACCAAAGCGCTGAGCCCTGCAGCGCCTGCGGCCGTTCCCCACAGGGGCAGGAGCGAGGCGCAGCCGGGTCGGGGCCTCACCCCGCTGCTCGGGACAGGGCTGGGTGGGCCTTGCTCCCCTGGGGACACCCCAAGCAGGGCCCACGAGCTGCTGTCACTGAATTTTTGAAAACTATTAAAAATACCCTTTACGAGCTTGGAAATTTAAAGCGCGCGGTGGAGAGCAGAACTGCTCTGACCAGCGAGAACGTACCACACGGCTCCGTCCGGGTAGTAGCACGTACTTCTGCCAGCGGACGTAAACACTGCCCGTACCGCCCCGGTCCTGGCCTCGTCCTCCCGCACTATGCAGGTGGCCCGGGCTTTCTCCCGTATGACGACGATGGCCAGGTTTCCAGATGGATAACTGTCCTCGGTAAGGGCTCCGTAACCCTGCGCCGCTCTGGCGTTACATACGGAGTAGCTCAGCGCGCTGCTCGGGGGTAACTGACACCCCACCCGGGTGGCTGCGTGTGCAGCGGGATGGCAGCAGCTGCCAGCCTGCGAGGGGACGCTGCCTGCGCCCCGCTCCTGCCCTGGAGGATTCCCTGACAAAAGAGCAGTTAGACACGGAATACATTTTTCTTGTTTCCTAACCACTAACGCGGGCAGAACCGCTTGGCAAGTTTATTTTAAAGACACGTTCTCAAACAAAGTTATGGTTGAAAGTATGAGCCTGGCAAAGCGAGGTGGTCAAACTACTCTGCTTGGGTGACAGCAGAGAAAACAGGGGCAGAGAAAAAAAACCAAAACAACTTGGGGCAGGGGGAAGAGCTCCAGAAACCTGACCGGACCGTGCCCAGCCAGCAGGTATTTAGTGTCTCCCTGGGGTTTCCTTCCAGCCAGATGCTGCTGGGAGCACTCACGTGGCATCCCCAGGGCAGGGGCATCCCGGAGCACAAAGCAGAGCTCGGGTACATTTTCATAACCCCCCAGCTCAGAAAGAAGTCAGCCACAATAAGGAAAAATAGCGTGTGTGACTTCAAAAATGTCTGGACCAACTGGACTAACGCAGGTGAATGAGCCCCGTAAAGGATACAACAACTGCGCTGTTCCATCTGGAAGCATGGTGAGGAATTTCCCTCCGTGTCTGTAATATTTTTCCAACAATCCATCTTTCACTACCTAAGATTGGAAAAGAAACGGTACCACGGACGACCGCGGCCCTGCACCCACTGCCCTGCCAGGCAGGACTCAGGGGGGCACAGCCATGGCGTGGGGCAGCAGCGGCTCACCCCCCCGCCCGCCGGGCTGAAGTCGCAGCAGGTGACCCCGGGCTCCTCCTCGGGCTCCTCCGCGGGCTCTGCCCTGCTCTCGGCAGGCACCAGCGTCCGGCCGGCCGGCGACGGGGGCTCCTGGGAAAGCAGGTAGGAAATGGTGCCGGCCTGGTGCGAGCCTGCGGAGCAAAGGGGGGGCTGTGCCTCGGGCCAGCCGCCGCGGGGAGGCTGCAACCTGGGGCAGGGGGAATTTCTGCCTGGGGTGCTCTGTCCTGGGGTATTCTCTATCTAGCAAGGACAGTCCAAAGCATTCAGCTATTTCAGAGAGCAGGATTATGAAAAAAAGATACAGTTTTTTCAGTTGTGTGTATATACACGTCTGTGTGAGCCAGGAATGACTTTTTTTGGGTAGCATTCACAGCTCTGTGTTCTGAAGGACTGACAGCCTGAAATCCCTGGTGCTGCAGAAGCCTCAGTGCCCTGCCACCCTCTGTGGAAATACGCTCATACTGTAAATCTAGTTCATCTGTTCTTAGTCAAAATGCCTCTGATTTCACAGCCTGGGCAAGGATTAGTGGAGCATTCACCTGAGCTGGCAAAGTGCTACTCCCCTCATTCTGGCAGTTCCTGCCTTCCAAGGGCTTGGCCGTGCCAACCCCTGGTCCTCTAAGGTCAGTTTTGTGCATAAATACTGAAAGTCACAGCAAGGAGAAACCCTCTGCAGTGGGCAGGTAACTGCTTTTGTTTTGTCACGTGAGGGATTATTTAACATGGCAGTATCTCATTCAGGGGGATTGCACACTTGTCTCTGCATGAATCCTCCTGTTCAATTAGAGCATTAGAGACAAGCAACTCCACCGAGTTCATTGTAATAAACAGACAAAGAAAGAGCTAAGGCAATGGGAACTCACATTCAGCTGCTGCCGTCGGCTCTGCGGCCAGGAAAGCCAACTGCCTGGCCACTCGCCTCTCCCGCTGCCTGCAAAGTGAAAGCGTTCCCCATGCAGCTCCTGTATCTGGTTTTGAAAGCTGCAGCAGCGCTGTCATCGCCAGAGGAACACGAGTTTCTGAACCTGTTTCACTCTCCACTCGCATAATTGCAAATAGCAGTTAGAAGCAACAGAGCAGCACCAAAATATCAGTATCTCAGCAAAAAGGGATTTCTGCTGTGGAGAGGCTTCTGTGAACTGACTCTGATTGCCATGGCACCAGCTCTGCTGACAGCACGGCTCAGCCTTGTTATGGATTTCATATCAAGATCTTACATAAAAGAGAAGGAGCTGCCCCCAAGACCAAGAAACCAGCTCATCTCCAACGTTTTCATTGCTCTCCTTCTCTAGCTTCCCGTAGATTAGATAGCACCTGACAATGGCTCTGGTTTATGCTCTGCACATAACAGGAGGTACTCGCCCCACCAGCCTGCAGAGGATCATCAAGGAAACACACAGTTTACTTCCAGGTGTGCTGATTTACTTTTCCTTGAGCCTGTGCCATAAGCTTAGGCATTTCTATAAGCTTTGAGCCTCCTAAACAGCCCGACAGAAGTCACACTTGTGGAGTTCTCCTGACTCTGGAAACTGGAATCCAAACGCATGTTTATGCAGCAAAAAAGAGAAATAAAATGCAAGCCTTGTTTCAGCACCTGAGGTAAAAGCCAGACCTAAATACTGTCCCTCCCACAGCCAGAGTTTTACGGTTCAGTCTCTAGATACTAGGTCTGTCAGCAGCAGAATTAATGCTTTCCTTGGCTCATACCTCACCACCTTCTAACGCAGCCTGGGAAGAGAAAAGCCAAGAAGGTCCAGACAAATATGTATTTGGGTTGCCTAAAGCAAATTTTTTTCTTCTTTCATTCCCTCTCACTGCAGTTTCATTTCTGTAATGCCTCTTTTCCCTCCGGAGTTGCCTCCTAGAGGCCCGATCCCAGTTCTCCCACAGTACCTCTGGTCCGCTCTCCCCTGGGACAGCCTGTGGGTGCCGAGGGGTTCCCGGGGGCCGACAGCAGCCAGAACGCTCCCGGCGCCTTCGCGGCCCCTCCTCTCCCTTACGATGAACTCGTAGAGGTCTTGGTTACGCTCGCAGCAGAATTTCTGAAAGGCAGAGGAGCGGTGCTACAGGAGCGGGCCCTGCCACAGCACACCCCTGTTGATCTGCCCCACAGCTCACCCAGGCGTAACCCTGCGGCGGCGGGCCAGGGTCTTCCAGGGAGGGGAACGGCCTCAGCAGGCTGCCACAGTACTCGCACCTCGGGGCACAGCCCTCTTCTGCCTGCGGCGGGGAGGGGGGAGGAAAAATGGTATCAGCATGCAAATCCTCCTCTATCTTGGGGGAAGAGAGATCTGCTCAAAATTCAATGTGTAAGAGCAGTTAAAACAGATCTGCCTCTTGTGATACTTTGAAAAGATTTAATTCAAAACATCAGGTTCAGGAAACTACCAAAAAGAAAAGCCGATGCATAGTCAATAAATAAAACCCCTCCAAGAAATAGGGTGACTTAGTATTTACGAGACCTGTTCCTTCCAAGGGAAAGCCCCAGAGCATGCAGAATGCTATAGCCGGGTACCCTGCTGCATTCACCCTCTCACATACATTGCTCACGGCTTCGGGGAGAAGCAGCTCCCAGACTGACGCGCTGTGGATCATCGGAAAATCTGTGCGGAATTTCACAAGGAACCACCAGCAGATTTGCTGGCAAAAGACTGAGCATATTTGGCCAGATGCAAATCAGGGCTGCTGCAGGATACTGAGGATGGGTACTAGATATTCTGAAAGAAATAACCTGGTTTTTGACAACACATTTTTCAGTGTGTCACTCCTGGTGCAGCTGCCAGGAGCACGCTGCTGAGCTTCGTCTGAGGCCCTCGGTCCCCGGCGCAGCCCCGCTCAGGGTGAGAGCGGCCGGTGCAGCAGCGAGGGGTGAAGGGCACCTGCTCCGGGCTGCTCGGCTGCTGCGCTGCACTTGCACCTCATTTACTCCACTACCTGTTCAACACTTCCATTCAAATCCTTTCCTGAACAGCAGTTTGGAATACCTGCCTTCTCTGGAGCGCAGAGTGCATGGGAATCCCCTCGCTCCCCTCCTCATGCCTTGGCTTAACTCTTTGATGACTTCACTCTGCTAAGGGTTACTGGGAGGGCTGAGCCCTGCATGTATTCTTTGACTGTGCACCTAGTATTTATATACATTTTGTATATCTGTTGTAGCCAAAGAGTAAAATCTTCTGCTAGGAAATTCTCAACACAGGATGTGGCGGTGGGGGAGGAGCTGCTGTGGAGGTGTGTGCAACAAGCAGCATCTCAACAGCCTCACAAAAGAAAACCCCCTTCATAAAGGAACTCTGGCACTGGCTTAGCAAATGATATTATATTTTTCCTGCATGGGAATTGTAGAAATTTAAAATAAACAGAAAAAGCGACAGAGTAGGGAGCACCCGCCACTGGCTCACCTGGATCTGTAGGTTTTCTCGAGAGGCTTCGGGTCTGTGGGCCAGGAGGGCAGGCAGGCCAACGGATGGCAGTGTGCACAGCGACTTCTTGAATAGCTTCACAAAATCTCCTTCAAACTCAAAGGGGAAAACACCAAAAACAATGTGGAGTCATCATCTCTTTGTTCAGGCGTAAAACCATTAAGCATAAAATGTATAAACACGACCAGGAGAGTCCTTACCTCCGTGTCACACAGGACATCTAAGCTGCTGAACTCTTCCGACGGGGCTGCAGTGATGATAACGACAATTACTGAGCAGCAGGGCTGTGTTCTGGGAAAGCTGCCCTTCTAGAGACACTTGTTCCGTTCCCCGTTCAGCACGCCAGCCTTGCCTCGGCAGCCCCATCGGCTGCCCCGGGCCTTGACCCCCACCCGGGCTGTACAAAACCCTCCCGCCGGAGGCATGGAGAGGGCCGAGTGCTTGGGGTCAGCGACTCGAGCACTAATCTAATCCTGCATTATCCTCTGAAGCCTTTCCAGCCTCTCTTGTCCTAAGAAGAAAGAGCTGTAGAGACGGTTGAAGATTTTTCTCATTTCCAAGGGCACTCTGCTGTGCAAGTGCAGTGAAGGGCTTTTTGGCCTTTGGGGCAACAGGAAACCTCTCTGCTGAGCGGGTGCCCGGTTCCCTCCCATGGGCAGTGCCCCAGGTGCACACCTGCACTGTCCCACGTACATCCCTTCCCTGGGGAGTCACAGCCCAGCGTGCCAGCCACTGTAGCCCCCGCTCTGGGTACACTAAACACATTCCTAGCTCTTTCAATCCTGAACTTCAGTTTCCCTTGTCACCACAGAATTTGTCTTGCCTTTCTAAGGTTGTCCTGCTTTCCATAAAACACTTGGCCAGATGAAACTCTGGGCAGGCTGAAATATGAAATCCTTCCTAAGTCCGCTTTGGGAAGTATGAAAAAAACAGAAAGTGTATTTAAAAAGGATGGGGTAAAAATCACGACAGCCCCAAGTCAGCACCCAACTCCCAGGACTGCAGCTGGAGCCGCAGCTCTGGAACGTGCCTGGAAGCAAATGCTCCAGGAGGAAAAGCAGAAAGTGGTGCTGTGGGATTCACTGGCACTTCCAGGAGGCTGAATGATGCGGGTGCTGTGTGCTTGAACTTTGATTTTTTACATCACAGTTCAAAGATGGGATTGTGACCACCCCCTGCCCGAAGCTGTGTCACAGAGTGATGGATTGTAAACCCCGCATGAGCAGCAGCGAGAAGCCATCGATGTTCCTCTGCCGTGGGCTGCGTGTCCCCCTTCCGCGGGGACGGGGCTGCACACAGCTCCCCAGCACTGCCCGCTGGCGCCTGCCTTTTGTGGCCCAGATCTCTCCTCCTGCTCTCGGAGGCGGGTGAGATGCGGGCCACGCTCTCCCAGGGAGGAGAGCTGCCTGGCCTTGGAAAGGAAACACCGAGGCTGTTGGATGTGCTGCCCAAAAGGGACGGGGTCAAGCAGCCTGTGCTGCCGGCGGCCGCGTGCTGGGGTGCGGTGCCTCAGCGAAGGAGCCGGGCACTCGGACACGTGCCGGCACGACTCAGCTGAGCAGCAGGAGAAAGAAGGTCGAGGTATTTTCAGCGCTCCATAGAGGCTCTGCCACTACCTCTCCCGGGAACACAAGACGTGGTCTCTGCCTGCTGCTGAGCGCTCTGCCGGCCTGCGCCGTGTTCCTGCACCTTCACGGGGACCCGGGGGGGAGTTTGGAGGCGGCTCCGCAGAGGGGTTAACGGGGGCCCTGCAAGGGGGGGTTCCCGGGGGCTGCTCCCCGGGTCTGCCACCACTTTGCAAAAGGATCTTTGGGAAATCACGAAGTTACGTGTCTTCCATGAAGGACCCTGGAGTAGAAGGCAGCGGGAGTGAAAGCCAAAACAAGTGAGCAACATCTCTGTCGAACGAAGCTGTTTCTTACTTGGTTCTCTGTCGGCGTGTCGGTGAAGCCCACCAGCGCCTGTCTGCGTCGGCACCGAGAGCCCCGGCAGCTCCCGCGCCGCCACGGCTTCCACACTGCCCGACGTTTCCGCTTCCCTTGATTCAAGACACAAACCCACCGGTTAGTCACACACGATGACTTCCACGGGGCGGCCCCCCACGGTTCTACTAACGGAGGAGACCCCGAGCGTGGTTAATCACAACCCCGGCAGACGGAGCCAGCGGCGCCTGGCGGTACCTAACGGGGGCTGAAGGCGCTTCCCGGTGTGTGCC